AAAAAAAAAAAAAAGACATTGAGTCATAGGAGGTGCCAATGGCTGCCTGCTCCTGGCCTGCTGTTCCCTTGGAACTCTTCCTCTAGCCCCTGGGAAGAGAAGCCATGTGAATCATAAACCACATTGTAGGCATTGAGGCAGAAGGAAGGGGCAGAAGCAAATCCAGGCATAACCCAAACCCTAACCCTGTGGTCACCAATCAGTCCAAGCTGATTGGTTGTGTGATTAAATATAGGACACTGAACTTCTCCCTGGCACTGTCTTGTGCCTTTCCATCATTAGCAACCCCTAGAAGCCTTTAGTCATCATTAACCATCCAACAACAAATCTGGAAGAAGTCATAGAATTTATTAAATCCAATTATGTTATTGTACAAATGAAGAAAAAGAGGTAGGGAGTGGCCAGCCCAAGATCACAAAGCAAATTAATGACTAAATCAGGACCAGTGCCCAGGTTCTCCCAACCATCTACCCACCTACCTACATATTGTATTCACTCATTCATCCATCCATCCACCCACCCATCCATCCATCCAACATCCACCACTCCCATCCCCATATACCCAACATCTAATATCATCCATCCATCCATCCATCTTTACACCTATCATCCTCCATCCATCTTCCACTCATCATCCAGTCCTGCCTCCCCTTCTTCACCCTCCCCTCTCAATTACTGGCGCTTTCATCACCTGCCTTTCTGAAATGAGCTGTTCAGGAAGGGGCACCATCAGCAGAACCACTGTTCTAGACAGACTCACAGATGCAGGAGGATATGAGAGGTGCTCACAGCCGAACAGTGGACATCCAAATCTCTATGATGCATCACATGTTTGGGGAAGAAGTTTGAATGAGTAGGGCGTTTGTTTGTTTGTTGGGAAGCAAGAAGAGAGGACAGATGGAGAGGCAGATAGGTGCATACATGCAGCTAAAATGACTGGGGTAGGCTTACCAGCAGATAGAGGATTCCAGTAGCTCTGGGGAGCTCATGGGTGGCAGTAGGTGTGGGAAGAATTGGATAAGGGGTAAGTGAAGAAGCTCAGGGATCACTGATGGCTTAGGGCAACTGGACACTGCATGGCTGAGACATGATTTCCAATTACTTCTAACTCTCAGGTTCCCAGGACAAGGGTGGGGCACTGGGCTAGACCACACATATGACAGGTGTAGGAAAACTAGGCCACATATTGGCTGGGATATTTTCCAAACCTCCTTTTTC